AGGCAAAGGATGAGTCTTCTGCAGATCTAATATGAATAGTCATGCAAGCTTTGTTCACTCCACCCTGAAGGCACTCACAGGGTGAAAACTGGCTCTGCAAGCTTTGCAAATCAAGAAGTGCAGCAAGTATGGGAGGTACAGAGGGTAAAAGAACAACCCTGCTCCTTTTGTATGCTTACACATTAAAAAAAAAAAAAAAGATTTCAACAGATCCAAGTTCCTTTCTCTGCTGGGACATGATCACTTCCCTCAAGTTTTGTTACTTGAAATTTCTCATAATTGTCCTGCTGTCATTACACTTACACAATCCCAACTAAATTCTGCCAGAAGACTGTGTCCTACATAAGGAACTGTTTTGAGACCATGGGTCAAGCAGCAGTAGCACTCAGATTGAACAGTTACAGCTAGTTTCTGTTCTTTCTTGGTCCCTCAAATTTCATGGCATTTTAAACATTGCTTTACCTTGAATTAAAAGAGATCAGTGGCTATTTGTATCTGAAATGTATGATTTCTTGGGGGAAGGAAGAAAGAAGATATGTAAAGCTTTCACCTGAGCTTTTGGAATGGTGTCATTGCTGTATGCAAACTTCAAGTAATCTGCTGAAAAAATAAGTCCCCAAAGTATTTTCTAAAGGAAGAATAACCTAGTCAATTACTCAGTTTATTATCTCTATGTTCTTTTTCAAGATTGTGCTTGCCCTGTCTGCTAGAAATACATAGCTAATCCCCTACTACCCAGTGCGTTATATATTGAAATCTATATCTAGAATGACTGTGCAGTAGGAAGTTATCTCCCCTGACTATTGGGAGCAATAGAGTACCTCCTCCCTTTGCCTGTAGTTTGTTGTTTAATCAAATGTTACATGTAAAAAGCTTTTGAAGACTTCTAATAATTTAAGTAACAGTAGATTAATACCCAGCTTTCCCTTAACTATTTCATATCATACAAGTTTCTTCTTACTGACCACAACCATTTTACACACAGATAAATGGAGATACAAGTACATAAAGGGATGTGCCCCAAAATCATTCTATTCCTGTTCCTACCAGTTTGCAAATGCACATCTTCTGAATCCCTAGTCAGTACCCCACCCCATGCCAAAACCTTCTATGCTCAACAAATGCTAAGAAAGCAGTACAGTATAGTTTATGTGGCAGAAATCATGGAAGATTCCCCTCATGCAGCCTCTTCAGCAATGGGGCTGAATATCAGCACTTCCTACATGAATAACAAGAGCTCAGTCAGATTCTGTGCACTAATCTGCAGCTTCATTTCAACCTAATGCATTTGTTTCTGTGTTCCCCACAGCATATCCACACATGAAGGAAAAGAAACCCAAACAACTCTGCACACAACTGTTTGAACTAGTCTTTAGATTTAGCACCTGCTTCAACAATCTTTTTATCCCAGACATTATATACATGCCCAGACTCTCCAAGTGCAATTAACTTATACAGCTTGATTTGGTACATTTCAGAAAGGTGAGGAAAAAAAAAATAAATCATTATATTTGTCAATAAAAGGAAAACAAAAGTTATTTTACCCTCTCTGGTCTCTTCATCCTCTGCCCCCAACACTCTCAAACAATATAGGGCAGAGACAGTCAATTTTAGCCATGTTGCATAACCATGGCAACTTTACAAATAAGAACATCAGCAGTTACAAAACAAGACAGACCACAAATATTAATGTAAGACCAGAACGAAGTTAGGTTTATATACCTTCAGAAGTACATCATATCCAGAACTCAGTCTTATGCTGAGTGCCTTTGGACAAACTGACCAAGCCCCTAGGAACTCGGAGAAAATGCTGTTGACACCTGCCAAAACCATTCTCGGATGGTACTGACTTTTTAGGGGCTTCCTGATGATCAGGTAATGCAGGGTGGTTTACTTCCCTCTTCTAGCAGCCAGGGAATACACAGTCCTTCACCATGCTTCAGCTGACCAGTGACACTCGAGACAGCTACAGTCATACAACTCCTTCCAGAGTGGCAAGACATACCCTAAATGTTCACATGAGAAGAAAGAAAAGGCAACTCTCCAAAACAGCTGAAATAGCTTATTGTCTTCAACTTCCTTAGCCCACGTCAAAGTATTCCCTAAACAATGTATTAAATTTTTGACCATAACTTTAAGAAGCCTCCAACATCCAGTTTCTATGCAACATAGCATTTATTTCACTTTTCTACATGAAGAGTCGGACTCCTACTCTAAGTGTACTGTTTTGCTTCAGAGTAGGGGGAGAAGCAGTTTGTGCCTCTTCACTAGCAGACATTAATCTTAATTTGCAGATGACAAAGCAGAGCAGGCAGCTTCCAGTATTCAACCTTCTGGTTAAACATCAAAAAAAATCCATAAATACATATGTATTTAATGCCCCCTGACACAGGTACAAAGCACAGGCAATACTAGTCCTCCAGTGAAAGGACAAAATAATTCAGAAGCCACAGACATCAGCTCTTAATGGCAACCGCTCTATGGACACAGTGAGCTAATCAAAGTTATTAAAAACAATAGCCAAAACAACCACAAATAATAGAGAAGAACCTCAAATTCCTTCACTGCTCCTTCCTAGGTAGCTTTTTGTGATCAATACTTCAACAACTCAGTAGGGAAGTCAAGTGTTTCTGTGTCCAAGAGTACGTTTGAGATGAGGACTGAAGCTTGTAGCAAGAGGGGAGACTTCCCTGCCAGAGGAGCAAGGAAGAAGGCACTGCCTAATCATTCACAGCCTCAGCTCTCCTGACTGTACATGGCATACAAACAAAAGCATGCTGAGACTAGCAAAGAGCCAGACAGAACTAGGTTACAGACCATTTCAGACTATTCAGAAAGTAATTTTAGACATCCTTGTCACTGAAAATGAAACATACTACTGACAGCACCTTAGTGCCAGCCAAACCTCACCTTGTGAGGTGCACCATGTGCACCTCCCAGGAGAGTGAATATCACACATGCCAACAGCATCCCTGCCTTAGATTCACTCCTGCATCAGAAATTCACTACAAGTTCACATCAAGAATAACCATTCCATCTCTTGAAAATTAAGATAGTCCCCCAACGTTCAGTCTTGCCTAAAAATTAGATAAGAATCTAACTAATGCAATAAACCACCTCAAACTTTAATATTATGATTCATAACAGCAATTTGAACAGATGTGCCAGTTACACTAAACTGTGAAGTTTAAAGAGAGAAAACTATAAAGATGATAAACAAAACACAGAAGTCAAGAAGAAATACAGGTTTTTCTCCATGGAAGCACACATCTTTGTGTTTTTATCTTTGTGAGAAAGCTCAGTACAGCTCCGAGTCATTCATTAAAGTTATATCACCCCTAAGCATATGTTGCAAGCATTACTCACACACCTCTGTCCTAAGATTCAGCCAAGACTGTAACAGCAGCAGACACATCACTGTTAAAAGGATACATTCTCTCATGGCCGCAACATCGAGTTTGCTAACTTCAGGTGAGCCGGGGCAACACTTCTTGAACTCTTTCCGCAAGTCAAAAAAGGAGTAGAAGCATTCAGGCAGTAAGATACTCTGTAACAGGAACAAAGTGACTGCTGTCAGGGCAAGTTTAATCCACTTTGTCTTTAGATACCAAACTTTCTAATAGTTTCCATATAATAGGTAGGAAACACAAGCATCCGCTCCTACAGAGAAACCCACATAGCTCTTCTTAGCCAGGTAAGTATGTTTTTATAAACTTTTTTTGCTTAAGCAGCTTTCTCTCTATATAGTTTAAAAAGAGAAATGTGCTTTTGTGCTGCCAGAGAAACATTTGTGATTATTACTAGAGCCTCAAATCCAATATATTATGTACGAGAGCAAATGCCTGCTATTGGAACTTCTCATCAGTTTTGATTCCAATTTTAACTGTAAAAAGCCAGAGGGCACTCAGTTCAGCTTACAGAACCAAGCACAATTTGCAAGACTAGCAGATGATATTTCAGTTTACAGACAAGGCTGAGTCTTCAGAGAGTAGTCATACTTCAAATATTTATTCC